TATTATTATTATATTATTATCATTATCATCATCCTCATTAAAGAAACAAAGAAGAAAGAGAGCCTAGGGCCAGGAGGTTATGCCTGGCGCTCTTTCCATTATTCCACTCGGAACCTGTGATAATGTGCCCTTCATGCACTTTCCTGGGAAAGGACTAGTCCTGACTTGGACATGTAAATATTTCAACCATGAGCTGATTTCCTTACCTTCATAAAGTACGGGTCTGATCTCAAAAGAAGCCTTAATTAATATCGTCTCTAAGGACAGTTTTTAACAAACGTGGCTTTATCGACAGACAAAAGGTGAGGAGCGTTCACCCTGTAAAGGTCACTGACCAGCCAGCTTCTACCACCCGGGCTACGCTGGCCTGGTGACCCAGCGCTGGCAAAGCTCTGCACCTCCCGAGCGGAGCTGGGCTCCCTCGTGCTCTGAAAAAGACTGCTGCTTTTCATGCCATCAGAGAAGCCGTATTCAAGAATTTAACATTTAAATATAATCAGGTTGGAGGCAAAATCTGATTTTTGGCAGTGAAAAAGGCTTTAACAAGTTGCTCTGAAGGATTTCATTCAGGCTTTGCTAATGCATTCTGTCATATCAGTATAGTGTTGATGGGGGAGCTAAATAATCCTTTTAGGACAGATATCTAATGCTCTCCCCAGACTAGCCAAGGTATTTCATCACGATAGGATTTGTTCTTTGCTAATGCCTTAAGATTAGTTACTGATAACCTGATCTAAACCTCTAAAAATCCAAAAATTCTTTTTAAATGTAGAAAATTAATAGGTGATACTCTCCCATAAAAGGATAACACCATTATGCCACCACCAACTTTTCCGGCCTGGTTTTGTTATCATTCTATTTTGCAGGATGCTACAGCTACCCTATACCATTTCTTCAACCGGTGAGTCTCACATTTGGCCAGGCATCAGAATCTCCTGGAAAGTTTGTTAAGACACACCCATCCCGAGTTTCTGAGTCAGCAGCACCTTTGGGAAAAGGCCAAGAATGTACATTTCTAACTAGTCCCCAGGCCATAGCACTGCTGCTGTCCCCAGGATGACACTCTGCCATCTCCTTATTCTTCCACGGCTCCCACTTAGGAAATGCGGTTACAACCTTGTGGCACGTCATCTCCCCAGCAACTCTACTTACATCGTGTCAAAACCCCCATGGGAGGCAGGCCAAACCTCCCACTTCTTCCTCTGCTCTTGGCTTCTTCCACACTTATCCCCACTGTGGGAAGAGGAGGTGGCAGGCATGCCCAGGGACCCTGGTGGGCTTTTCCTTTTTGCCTCCACGCCACCAGAGGGGAGTGTGGGAGCACGAACGCCAGCCGACCCTCCCTCTCTTCCTTTACAAAAACAGCTGCTGCCCTCCGGGACCCCAGAAGGAGAGACAGAGCTGGGCCAATACAAGATTTGGAGTACCCGAGTCTCCTTGCCATATAACTAAATTCATGTTGTCTCAATGGCAGTCCACTCTAACTCCCAACACCTGTCGTCCAATACCACTGTCTCATGAAAACTGTCCCACCTGTACTCCTGAAAGATATACCTTTCCTACCTCACATATAAGTCCTTTTCAATTCGTCCATTCCATGCTTTACTCCCTTCTGAACTGTATACAAAGTACTCATTAAATATTTACTGATTCGAATGCAAACACACACAGGTCAGAGAGGGCACACTGTAAGTATACCGCTCAAAACAAAAGTCATAGAAATTATATATCGACAGCATTTCATATTTGGAAAAGTTGTTTTCATAACACAGGTCCCCTAAAACATGGACTTCACGAGAAAGACATTCAGCCACAAACTTTCATCATACTTCTGAAATTTTTCAAATATTTTATATTCTTTTCAGGAGCATATTTATAACATAATGCACTTGGCCCCCTAAAAACTTTTATAGTAAAACTAAAATTAACCTTGGGAAATAATGCAGAAATTAAATTGATCTTCTTCCTTAAAAGCATGGTCCCTATTTAGTTTATATTACCAAAGAAAAATATAAAGCAATAGTATTGAGTTTTTCTTTGAAGGGAACGAAAGATGGCAACTCACCTTAGAACTAGCTGTAACATCACATCTTCACAGTGTAAACCGATAAGAGTTCTAAATAATGCCAGGGACACCACACAGAGCTGGGGAGCAATAAACATATATTGTATTTCAGATATTGGGAGAACAGCTCTACTCCCCACAGATGGTAAATAAATCAGAATTACAAAATAAAATGGCCTCTTTTCTTTAGCAGTTTTGATAAAAACATGCTGCTTATTCAGCTACCAGTTCTCCTATAGGCTTTGATGGAGAAAGTCTAAGCCTGGAATGATGCCACTGCACAGAATTACCCTCCTATCAAATGCCTATGCTCATATTTCCAACTTTTTAAAATCCAGATAAACTCATCCCTACAACTCTCCAATGCATTTATATGCACTGGCGTGTGTACACACACACACACACGGGATCTCCTGCTTGTCACTCATTTTCCTAAGTTATTTTCAAATATGACTGGTTATCTATAAGACGGCACTAACAGAAAATTGCATACACCCTGGCCAACTCTCCCTCTACAGTTCTCAGCCCCAAGCCTCAGCACACGCTGGCTTGTCTCTTGGATTTGGGGCAAACATTTTCCGTGGTTTCACTTCCAGTAGTGCTGAGGGTGCAATAATATACTTTTCTAAGAAGTTCATTAAAAAGACAAGGATTCTTTCAATCTCTGATTTCAAAAAAGGAAGGATGAACAACCAAACAGGGAAGATACTCCAAGGTGTATTATAAAATCATCATGCCGTTTGGGAGTAAGCTTTCATAATTCTATCAGGCCACTTAAGTGATTTAGGCTCTTCTTCTTTGTGTACGATGCATGTTTTGGAGAGCTGCAGGGGGCAGGTTTACCTGGATCTTAAAAAGTTGGAAATAGGAGGACATGGGCATTTTGCTGGAGGATAATTCTATGTAGTGGCATAATTCCAGGCTTAGGCTTTCTAATCAATATAATCCTATAAGACAGGGGTCATAACCCCTAGGCCACAAACTAGTACTGGCCTGTGGCCTGTTAAGAACCGAGCTGGACAGCAGGAAGTGAGCGGTGGGAGAATGAGCGAAGCTCCATCTGTGTTTGCAGCCGCTCCCCAGCGCTAGCATCACCGCCTCAGCTCCACCTCAGATCACCAGGCATTAGATTCTCATAGCCATGCCAGTCCCTGGTGCCAAAAAGGTTGGGGACCTGCTATAGGAGAACTGATAGCCCGAATACATTCTCTGTATACTCCTACAGCTCGGTAATAAAAAGACAAATACACCGTGCTGAACACCCTAGATGTTGATGTGCAGGTGTTACTAAGGTAACATGATATACAACATGGTATTGTTAACTAAAATCACCATGCTGTATATTAGACCCCCAGAACTCATTCATCTTATAACTGGAAGTTTATACTCTTTGACCAACATTGTGAAGTTTTATAAACAATAGTAGCCATTTAAGCTTTTATCTTTAGAATAAGCATATTGTTTCACAGGCTTAACTTGTTATTTCTAAATGTTATTCTACGTGCACTGTCGATTACTTGGTTCAGTTCAGGTTTAGGAGTTTAACTTTCAATCTATTGGTATCTTTGAATCTAAAGTGTACCTCCTGTAGGCAGCAGATCTTTTTTTATCCAATCTGACAATCTCTGCCTTTTGAGTAAATGTTCTAATCTATTCACATTTAATATTATAGATGCAGTTGGATTTTTGTCTGCTGTTTTACTTTTTGTTTTCTATATGTTTCATGTTTTTCTGTTTCCCTAGTCCTCTTTTACTGTCTTATTTTGCATTAAGTGAATATTTCCCTAGCATAACATTTCCTCTAATTATGTTTTTCTCTATAAAGTTATTTTATTAACGGTTGCTTTAGGCCTTACCATATACATCTTATCAGACTCTACTTCAGATTTATACTAAATTAGTTCCAGTGAAATATGGCAATATACTCCTATATAGCTCTATTCCTTCTAACCCCTTTCTGCGCTATTATTGTTTTACATATTATATCTACGTATGTTACAAACTCCATAATACATTGTTAATTATTCTTTTACTTTTTATAACAATAATTGCAATTAAATAGAGATAAGATTTTCAAAGTTGATCTGAGCTCCAAACTGAAGAATGACTGCCTAAACTCACAGCTGCCTAGACTTCCATTTCTAAACACTATGGACAGAAATATGATCTCTAAGACCCAGATTTGATACACTCTGATTTTTTGGCTTTACCTCCACTTACTCTCATATGTTCCCCTGCATTGTGTCTTCTCAGAAACACATTCTGCTAGTTCCAAAGCAGAAAGTGCCAACCCACACAAATTGAGAAAAATGTCCTATGAAAGGCGGCAGTAAGTGCCACCTCCCTAACAAAATGCATTATCTAGTTCCAAAATAGAAAAGATAATGGC